AGATCAAGGTCCGGTGGCTGAAGAACGGGCGGCCGGAAGAGGAGGGCGTGGCCTTTGGGGAGGAGCTCCAGAACGGAGACTGGACCTACCAGCTCCAGGTGATGCTGGAGACCCAGCCCCAGCGGGGTGACATCTACACCTGCCAGGTGGAGCATGCCAGCCTGGAGGCCCCCATCACCGTCCAATGGGGTGAGCCCCCCTCCCTCCCCTACTGGTCTGGGGACCCCATCCTGCCCTGAGAAGCGGGGAGAGACCCTCCCTGTGGGGGGAGCTGGGATTGACCCTCCTGAGGGGGGGAAGCTGGCCTTGATGCTCCTGCTCAGGGGGGGCTACTTCTCCTTTCCCAGAGCCCCGTTCCTCCAACTCTGCCAAGAGCAAACTCTGGACGGGAATTGTTTCAGCTGTGATCGGGGTGATCTTCTTCACCATGGGGCTCTCCCTCTACCTGAAGAGCAAGACAGGTGAGTCTGGGGGGTTGGATGAGAGATTGTGGGGAGGGGACCCTCCAGGGGAGGCCTCTCAGCAAGCTGCGCAGATGGCAAGGAGGCTCCCCTTGGAGATTTGCTTGGGAAATTCTGTTCTTTGAGAGTCTACTGTATAAGTGAGCATCCTGCAACCTATTATGGGCTGTCAATGGGTAGGTGGACATTCTGAGTCCTCCAGCCCATGAAGGGTCCTGATTGGCTCTTTTTCTCGTTTCAGCAATTCCCATCCAGCCTCCTGCAGGTGAGTTTCTCCTCAAGTGATAGATGTTTCTTTAACATTCGTTAATTGTTCCTTTTTTTTAATGTGCCTAAACAATACCTCCTTGCTGTGGATAACACAATTTTTTGAAATTTTGGGCAGCTTTTCATTACAGAGACCTGAAAACAGTGCAATCAAAAACAAACACACAAACACAAACACTAAAATCTTGCCCAGGAGGTTTCTAGGTTTTGGGAAATTGCAAAAGAGAAGGGAAGTCTCCTTGTGAAAATTTCACACAATTATTATTATTATTATTATTATTATTATTATTATTATTATTATTATTATTATTATTATTATTATTATTATTATTATTATTATTATTATTATTATTATTATTATTATTATTAATATTAATATTAATATTTTTACCCCGCCCTTCTCCCTGCGGACTCAGGGCGGCTTACAGCCTTTTAAAACAAATACATAAATACAGAAAATACTAAAGTTAAAATGTTGATTAAAATGAAATATTATTAGGCCTTTGTTATTTTTAAAAATTATTATAAAACCAAGCTAAAAACCCTTAGGCCAGTCCTGCCAACTTAAATAACCATGTCT